CCATTAACCTTAACAACTTTACAAATTCTAACAAAGTAAAAAAGTCGATTTGTATTCTAAAATGCAAACAAAACATTTGGGCAATAGGGGTAATAGGGATAACGATGACCGCAGTGCCATAAAATGCTCTTATTATGTCTTATTATGTATCCTTTTTTTTGTATCGTCGATTTTTGTTTTGCAAGAAAAACACTTGTCAAAGACAAAATTTATTTTAAAGCTTTTAAACATCTGGCCGTGTCTCAACATTCCAAAGAAAACATTGAAAATATGTCAGCCATAAACTATGAGATCACTTTGTTTAGAAAGAAAAATAAATCAGAAAAATAAAACAAAAAATGGCCATTCCTTCTCTAATCATTGAGCGAAATCTTCGTAATAGTCGTTTTTTGTTTTCTCTTTTTTTGCTTCATCAAAACTTTCTTCTGAAATTTGATTTGAGAGTTGTTAGTGAAAGAAAAACAGCTTCCCGTTCGACAAATAAGTTCTACTTTGCTTGGAAATTACCATAATTACCGTAATTACGGAAATTACCTTTGCTATTACCGCAATACCTCTACTAGTAAGGGAGGTAGTCAAATGAGCGCCAACAATTGGGCGCCAATCATTTGAGCGCCAACGATTTGGCTCACGCTTATTTCAGCGCCACTCATTTGAGCGCCGTGCCAAAAATGACTGGAAAACAATCATTTGAGCGCCAAATTAAAAAGGCCTAAAAACGTTCATTTAAGCGCCGGGCCAAAAATGACTGGAAAACGTTCATTTCAGCGCGACTAAATTTTAATATTTTTGCTTTCTACGCTGCTTTTGCATGTTTTTTAGGGTTTTGCTTCTGTTTTTACACTTTTTTTCACTCATTTGACCTAGGGCACAGTAGTAGGCATCAAATGCGCGGAAAAAATTGTTAGATTAGCTCGTATTTAAGGTTTTTTTGGTGAAAATGTGTAAATTTGCTAGTTGTATGATATTTTCCCCCAATAGCGTGCTTTTTCACCGTTTCTTGCCGTTTTCGTTTACAATTTGCTTACAGTTAACATAGTTCTTTGCTTAGGCTCGTGAACTGCGCAAGAAGTGGCGAGACAAAGGAACACTCTGAGTCAAAGTAACGTTTTGTTCATGATTTATTTTGGTTTATTTTGCTGCCAAGAATTATTTTTATCTTTAGATGATTTAGATAAAAACATACAGTAAAAACTTTGAGATCATGCAGAAAATGCAAAAATAACATGCATATACAGAATGGGCTGATTCGGCGCTGAAATGAATGTTTTCCAGTCATTTTTGGTGCGGCGCTGGAAATGAACGCGCGCTAAAATGATTGGCGCTGAAATGATTGGCGCTGAAATGATTGGCGCTCAATTTTTGGCGCTCATTTGACTACCTCCCACTAGTAACGCCCCGTACAGTCGGGTAGTCGCAAAACATTTTTACATTTTCATTTTCACTAAATCATTTTTTTTTCTAAGCGCTCATAATTTCTAAAAATGCATTTTTGGTATCAAAAAATAGTTCTGAATTTCAGCTTTCATTTTATACCTAAGCGCACATTGTAGCATAAACGAGTAGCGAGAAAAATGCGTTTAAAGTTAGACTACGCGACGCTCTGACCGTCATTATGGAGAGGGGGCTACTATTACAGGTATTACGGTAGGAATTCCCTTACAACATTTTAGAATTTATTTCAAATCTTATTTATTATGCACCATTTCTTTATGACAGTTATTCATATTATTCATGGTGTTATCTTGCATGCACAGAAGTCCCATTTTGCCTTGCAAAAGCGCTTAAATTGCTTTAACCTAAGCCTAAGCTTTAAGGTTAAGATCTACAAGATAACACCATGAATAATGTTAATGATTTTAATTGAATCTCATCATAATCTTTTGTTACAAGAGTTTTACATCAAATCGGCAATGCCGTGTGTGGAAAAACGTAAGGAAGATTTGACTTTCTAAGCTTTCTAAAAAGAATTCAAGCTCTACAAGATAACACCATGAATAATATGAATAACCGTCATTACGTGAAGGCGCTACTATTTCAGGTATTACGGTAGGCTTTTCAAGAAGTCTTTTCATTCCTTTTCATTCCTTTTCTTTTGAAAAATAACAAATATTGATGCTTTCCGGTTAACGGGCGGGTAAAATTTTTTGACCATTTTACAGCCCGATTTTAAAGATGTTTTTTGTTGATAACTTTTGATGAAATAAATATTTTCGAAAAGCTAACATTCTAAGCTATCTAAAACTTATAAAAATTTGTTGATCTAACAAGTTTAAAGTGCTTAAAATCGGGCTGCAAAAATGCAAAATAATCAAAAACTTTTACCCGCCCGTTAACCGGAAAGATCCCAAATATTCACTAATTAACTTTCTTTAAATCTAAAGCTTATTTTTCTATTTTCCAAGAAATGTTGAAGGTATTCCCATTGAATCAAGTAGATTAGATTCATTAGATTAGATTTTGATTAGATTTTAGATTGATTAGATCAAGTAGATTAGATTTTGAGCTTTCTTTTAGCTCTGCCCTACCTCTAAACAACTCTATCCTACCTGTACATGAGTTCATAAAGAAAGTGACATCTTTTGCGAAAGAGAGTTGTTGTCGATCATATTGTGGAGGGAAAATCATGCAACCATTTGTGGCTCGAATCCAATTCATTCCACCACACACTTTTCCCCGTCTCCCTCTCCCACGCAAACACTCACTTTGACACTCTTCTAGAATACTCATGACAAGTGATATCGACTAGTTGTTGTCGAGCATATTGTGGAGAGAAAATCAGTATCGTATTCCAGATAATTTTAGACATAGCTGCAGGTAGTATTAACGTAGTACGTATTAAGTTTTAACTTTTAGTTTAACTTTTATTTTAACTATTATTGGGTTGTCCAGTTATGAATGCGCGTTTTTACTATTTTGTAAATTTCTCAAGATATCGAACAGATGTAGATGAGTGTTATATATCATTCGAAAGCTGAAGATCTCCTCTACATTTTGGAATAAAAAAGTTTTTGAATTCATTCAACTTTTTTGGGAAATTGACTACACAATGGGAAAGGTCGTATTCGAAAAAAACCCATTTCAGCTTAGCTATTCCTCAAGTTTTATGGTGTATTGATATATCTATTGGCCAAACATCAAACGGTTAACACAATTTGAGCGGAGCCAAAACTTGATCCAAAGGCACCCTTCCATTTTTTGGCCACCTCTTCTTTTGTGCAGTCAAAAGCTGAACAAATTCAAAAACTTTTTATATCAAAATGTAGAGGAGATCTTCAGCTTTCGAATAATATGCGAATAATGAGTATTGATCTCCTTTACATTCATAGATCTCCTCTACATTCATAGATCTCCTCTACATTCATAGATCTCCTCTACATTCATAGATCTCCTCTACATTCATAGATCTCCTCTACATTCATATAAATCTTTTTCTTGATTTCGCTATCTTGAGAAATTAACAAAATAGTAAAAAACGCGCCTTCATAACTGGACAACCCAATAGTTTTTCTCAATTTCTGAAATTTACAATTTACCCAATGTTTGAGCGGATGTGACAAGTGACGCATCAAGATCTTCCAGTATCGTATTCACAATTGGAGTTAAACATCGAGAAATGATAAAGCTGGGAATGATGAGTTGATCTGAAAAAAAAACTCCTAAAGAATTTATTTTTCTTTTCAATTACCTGGTGTTCTTGGTTGCGCTGGTGGACAGACATTCTCGTAGTAGTCAATCGTTTTCGATGTTTGAAGCGCTGTTTTCGTTTGTGATGAACTTCCACCATTCACTATGCAGATCTGAAATAACATTTACGTTGTTATGCATTTTCTGAAACCTTTCTACTAAAATCATAGTTGACACTGGCACAATAGAGATCAGAAGTGTAGAGACAAGTGACGAGACAATCCCTGAAGATGAGGGTTTACTTTGAACGTTGACATTCTTCTAATAATCTATATTTGATTTCTTTTTGATAGATTCTTTTTGATAGACCCGCTCGTTCAAACCTTAATGTGTTAAATATTATATAAAATATTGAAATCCTTAATCTTAGCTACATTTATCACCTAAAAGTTTCTCGATTTGAGATATAAAAATCATTTTAAAAGCTTTTAAATGAGTACTAGTTGTTTGTCAAAAATGGCATCAAAGATATCAACTAGCACTCATTCAAAAGCTTGTAAAATGATTTGTATATCTCCGATCGGGGAACTTTAAATAGCTAAATGTAGCTATTAGGTACTTGCAAAAGAAATTGCGGATTATAGCCAACATTCGAACAACCCAAAAATCAATAAGAAAATAACTTTATTCCAAAAGATATTTGCCATTATTATCAACTATGTTCCGCAGTTTCTTTTGCAAGTCCCTAATAAGATTAAGGATTTCAATATTTTATATAATATTTAACACATTAAGGTTTAAACGAGCGCGTGCTAATCTATCAAAAAGAAATCACCGTAAATACTGAATACCTATTGTACTATTGTTAGTTTTGATTTGATTGTGTTACCGTCTTTTCTCTAATAGTAGTGCACCGCAGCGAGCCGAGTTGGTGACTATTTTACGGCTTTCAAAGTTTTCACAGAAGCTCAACACTCAAATCCCCCACAAGATCTCATCGTCAGCTACATTTTCCGACCCCACATTGGTAGGTTCTGATAAGTGGTTTTCGAGATTTCGACCAATTTAGGCAAACGGTGCACTACTATTATAGAAAATACGGTATTGATTTGCTAAAAAACACCTAAGCTATCAGAATCGAAATGCTGCTTTACTATTCAAATAGCTAAAGTTTTGTATTATTCGATTAGGAATCAGTCAATGATTGAAATGATCAAATAAAGCTGACTATGATAGCTTAAACTAGATGTATTTTAGAAAAGCTACCGTAGAGACACTCCATTCAACGCTTTTTCCTCATAGTTTGGTAAAGCTCGATGGGAATATTTCAAGAAACACGGAGCATCGCTGACGATCGCTAACTCTGAAACTTTGATTCCGTCTGAAGTTCTCCTTTTAAACCTTTCCCCGATGGAGTTGCTCTAGAGATGGTTGTTGGAAAAGAAATTGAACGAGTTGTGATTGATGATGTTGTTGATGTCATGATTGTGGCTCGAAATCCAGAAGAAACGATAGCTGGCCTCTTTTGTCCATTCAAGACGACGAGCGGCTCGGCATCGATCTCTTGCTCGGAATCTATCACAACTTGAGTGCTCAGCAATGGTGTTGGAGTAGTGAAAGGGGCTGGAAATGGTTTTCGTGAATCAATTTGAGATTTAGAAAAGAGTTTCCAGAATTCTAAACTCGATTTCGATGCAAGTGTATCAGATTTATTAAAAGAATTTCTTTAAACCGGCTTACTATTCGGTTTGTAGTAGTGACGAGTGATGGGACCGGGTCGAATCGCTTTAATCGTATTGGCTAAATTTTAAATACAAATCGTTAATAAGATGTAAATCTGAATAGACATTGGCACTATAAACTATAAAAACGAATTCACACACTACAAACGCTTCTAAATTACTTTAAATCTACCGAATCGTTGTAAGCTCTGGCTCAAGAGATAGAGAATTTTACAGAGCTTTCGAATCGACTATAGTACCGACAACAATCTCAATGCTAAAGAAAGTTAAATTGGTTTATAGTCGAAGCAAGCAATGGGCCACTGTAATTTTCTTTAGCATTCAGATTTTTAGATATGCTTTAGTTCATTCAAAAGCTCTTGAAATTCTCTATCTTTTCAACTATAGATTATAACAATCCAGTAGATTTAAAACAAGTTAGAAGCGTTTGTAGTGGTCGTAGTAGTCTAAAACAAGTCAAAGAGTTAACTACTTGGTGAGAAGGAATTGTTAATTTACTTGTTATTGCTGGGGCGATCGTTGGCGGACTTGGATTTGCTCCTTTAGCTGGGATTAAGATTACAGAGCCTCGAACCTGAATGAATTTCTCAAAAAAAAAAAACCCTCAATACGATAACAATACGATAAAAATGATGGTTAAAAATTAGCAAAGCTTCTTTTCTTTTCTTTTCTTTAATCTTTTCTTTAATCTTTATATTCTTTATTCATTGAGTGTTATCAGTGTCAACTAGAGTGCGTTCCTCGCGAGTAACGCGTTTTTAAAAAGCACACTTTGGGAAAAAATTACCGTACTTTTTAGCAAAAAAATTCTTGCAAAAAAATGACGCAAAAATGACGAGCACCGCGTTATATACGACACCTTTTAAAGATACTCAGCTGTTTAACTGAGTATCTCTAAAGATATTGATTTGGTGGGGAAATTCCCGTCCAATGTAAAAGATGATTTTGGGAGTGGGACAAATGCGACCTTTTTTTTTGCGCACCTTTTTTTTCCGCACCTTGCCCATTAGTGCACCTTTTTTCGCGTTTTAAAAAAGCTCTAAAAGCTAATATTAACCAATTTCTATTCCAAAAGTTGTTTTTCTAGGTAATTTTAGGGCGTAGATTCGAAATTTTGGCATATCAGAGCTTGTGGAAGCGAAAGCAGGCGGAGTTCAAAAAGAAAAATGACAATTTTTCTGTAATTTGTATAGCCGTTTTGTCTTTCAAATTGGTTCCACCGCTCTGATATGCCAAAATTTCGAATCTACGCCCTAAAATTACCTAGAAAACAACTTTGGAATAGAAATTGGTTAATATTAGCTTTTTAGAGCTTTTAAAACGCGAAAAAAGGTGCGCTAATGGGCAGGGTGCGGAAAAAAAAGGTGCACAAATGTCCGGGTGCGCAAAAAGGTCACATTTGTCCCACTCCCAAAACCTGCGCAAAAATTGCTTTTATATTTTTTTCCCGCAGGCGCACTTTTCAGAAAACGCATTACTCGACAATTACCGAGGTACTCGAGCTATTACTCGAGTGATTACTTACTCATTCAAATTTACTCGAGTAATTACTTACTCATTACTAATTACTTAGTAATTACTTACGAGGAACACACTCTAGTTAACAGTGCTCTAGTTAACAGTTAACAAGGAGGAACACACTCTAGTTAACAGTTAACAACTCACATTCCTTGTCAACTCGTTTTGTTTCCTCCGAAATACGTGCGCATGTGTGTTTACCTAAGGAAATTTGTTCTTTATGCATTTTGTAAAAAGAACATTTGTTCGAATTGGAGAAACTTTTGAAGGAATTGTATCTCCACTGACAGCTACAGCATTTGATCTAAACGAATTTACTGTTATTGTGCTGAGAATTTGTGTAACCTTGAGTCAAAACTCTCGACTGATGAGAAAGGGATGGATTTCTGTCAAAAAAAAACAATTGATTTATAACAAAGAAATCAACAAACTTTGCTGTTTTTATAAAATGTATTCAAGCGAATCGGAGAATCGATCATTTGTTTTTGGAGGTTTAAAGCTAAAGAATGTTAAAGAAAAGCTAAATTTTAAAGAAAAGCTAAATGTTTATAAGCTAAATATCTTTTTAAAAAAATACAATCAATTTTCGAGATAAAGATTGATCAAATGATTTTGAAATGATTCTAAAAAGCTCTCTTGCATTCTGCTTAATTAGCTAAATGCAATCGTTGGCTTTTTAGAGAAGCAAGAAATATGATTTGAGCAATTTGAGGTACTAGAAGGCACTTTAGAAGGCACTTCATTTTGAAACATTAAGTCGAAATTTTTGGTCTTGAATTAGAGTCAATTGAAATCAGATCGTCAGTCAGATTAGTCAGATCGTCAGTCAGCTCAGTCAGATCGTCAGTCAGATCAGTCAGATCGTCAGTCAGATCAGTCAGATCGTCAGTCAGCTCAGTCAGATCGTCAGTCAGATCAGTCAGATCGTCAGTCAGATCAGTCAGATCGTCAGTCAGATCAGTCAGATCGTCAGTCAGATCAGTCAGATCGTCAGTCAGATCAGTCAGATCGTCAGTCAGATCAGTCAGATCGTCAGTCAGATCGTCAGATCGTCAGTCAGCTCAGTCAGATCGTCAGTCAGATCGTCAGATCGTCAGATCGTCATTCAGATCAGTCAGATCGTCAGTCAGATCGTCAGATCGTCAGATCGTCAGATCGTCATTCAGATCAGTCAGATCGTCAGTCAGATCGTCAGATCGTCAGTCAGATCGTCAGATCATCAGTCAGATCGTCAGATCATCAGTCAGATCAGTCAGATCGTCAGTCAGATCAGTCAGATCGTCAGTCAGATCGTCAGATCGTCAGATCGTCAGTCAGATCAGTCAGATCGTCAGTCAGATTAGTCAGATCGTCAGTCAGATCAGTCAGATCGTCAGATCGTCATTCAGATCAGTCAGATCGTCAGTCAGATCGTCAGATCGTCAGATCGTCATTCAGATCAGTCAGATCGTCAGTCAGATGGTCAGATCGTCAGTCAGATCGTCAGATCATCAGTCAGATCAGTCAGATAGTCAGTCAGATCGTCAGATCGTCAGTCAGATCGTCAGATCGTCAGTCAGATCGAGAGTCGATTGTAATTGTTACAAATTTGATTTTCCAATCAAGCCACCCGTTCTATTGAGGGGATTTGTGACGAGTGGTTGTATTGGAGAAGGTTCAACGTGTGATCGACGAGAATTTCCCGAAGAAATCATTCGAAATCGGCATCGAGTCAATCCTAAGCATTTCTATGTCTTCATGCGAACAATTCTCACTATATTCTATTTTGATATCTACCGTTGTTGTGCCCGTAATGTCATTTAGAGTGATCGGATGAAGTGGCACTGATTGGGTTGAGGCAAAACTGGAAATTTTGTTTATCAAACAAGACGTAAGTCAGGAAATTTTGAAAGAGAAATTAGCAGTTTTCAATTCACCAACCGAACACAAAACTAGCAAATGAATCAAGAAGAGAATAATTAAATCTTTTCAAACCAACACTCCTTAGCTCTTTTTCTTGATAAAACATTGACAAGAAAGAGTTGGGATCCAGGCTAAAATAAAAAATAAAAACTAAAAGATAAGCGTCCCTTAGCACGTTGAAGAAATAAAACCCAGAAGCAAAGCTACAAAGATTTGGATTAATACTAAGGCTTTTGAATACATTGAAGTTGGATTGGATGCCAAATCCATCGAATCATACAAAATCATCTGCAGGTCATTCGTACCTCTCTTTTAAATCTTTTCATCAATTTCTTTAATCGGAATCGTTGTCCTCTGATCTTTTGCCCATTCATTGTTCTCAGAAAGACTTCTCGATCACTTGCTCATTCCCACTCGTCTTGCCACTCTATTTCGATCATTCGATAAAGAAATGTTCTCATAGAAATCCGATCTCCAAATTTGGTGCCATGCAAAGTTTTCGACACGATCGCTAATAAATCTTTCTTGTTTGAGATTTGAAGATTTTGAACAGATTTTGAAGCAAATGATTCAAAGCACAAACGATGATAAAGGTGAAAGCTCTTGTTGCTCTTGTTACTCTTGCTGCTCTTGCTGCCTTGCTGCTCTCGTTACCTTGCTTGGTCAAAAAAATAACCTTTTCTTGCTCACCTCTAGTCGACTTAAACACACCATCATTTGTGTCTCTTCTCCATATTACTCCAATCGACCTGACATCTCCGAAGAAATAGAGTCGATTCGCCCAAAGGTTAGTGTGATTTTCGGAAACCACTGAACAATCTCAACAGATTTAGCTGTATTTCGGATACTTGTTAAAAGCCTGCAAAGCAACCAGTGTTCTTCTAAACAGATAAATCAAGCACTTCACAAATCCAGCACTTAAGCTTAAAAACTTCTTCTAAGTCGGGGGATTACCTGGTCAAAAGTAGAAGATCTTCTTCGTCAAGTGTCGTGTTCAGTTCGCTCTACCAGTGAACCAGTTTTCTCCAGTTTCGGTAGCTTCTCCAGTTTCTCCAGTTATAGCTTTCCAGTTTGCCCAGTTATCCAGTTATGAACAAATATAGTTCTAAAAGATCGAGAGTTTTAAGAGCTTTAGAATGATATAGTGAGAATTCGTACTTTCACGTGCTAAAGAAAGTTATATTGGTTTATAGTCAAAGCAATCAATGACCAAGCAAACCACTTGTAACATTGGAGATTTTTAGATGATTAAAACTCCTGTTTACTCAAGATATTTCATCTGGTCAAAAGTAGAAGATTTCATTGTCGTCGTTCATTAGTTCTACCAGTGAACTTTCAAATCCAGTTTTCTCTTTTCTTCACTTTCCCCAACTCTCAACGGGGTGAGTGTTATTCTTGAGTGAAAGTTTCTCTTTCTCTTTCTCTTTCTCTTCTCTTCTCTTCTTCTCTTTCTCTTCTCTTTCTCTTTCTCTCTCTTCTCTTTCTTTCTCTTTCTCTCTTCTTCTCTTTCTCTTTCCTTTTGCCCATAAGGTATGCAGCAACCCCTCCAAATCAACAAGAGAAACCAACACAAATCTCAAGGTCATTTCTGGCATTAGAGCTAGATTAGTTGAAAGCTTAGTCTGTCTAGAATTCTGGAATAAAAGGACTTACCTGTAGACATCTTTCAAGACATTCACTCGGTGACGACAAATTCCCAATAAAAACCGCTCCCGATCGCTGCAAGTAACGATTGCTGTACAAAAGAAAACAAGAGAATACATCAGGATCCGCGTTACTAAATAAAGAACATATTATTATATAGAATATTATATTGCACTTAAATCAAATACTATTCTACAATTTTTTTTTGATTTAAAACTACACTACTGGATAATGAAATATCATATTTGAAAATCGTCACTTTCGCGCGTCTGTAACTCCCTTGTCTTTGAGTTTAAACTATTAGTGTTATACATTTTCTGAAAGCTCTTTTCAACGGCTACACAATGGTAATATTAATATTTAGAAATACGGTAAAGACAAGGGAGTTACAGACGCGCGAAAGTGACGATCTTTTTTCAAATATGATATTTCATTGTCCAGTAGTGTATGCAATCTAGAAGGCCACAGATATGCAATCTAGAAGGCTACAGATATACAATCTGCAACCGAGATTGCTGCTAAAGATTGCTTCGAGATTTCTGCTGCTTAAATCTGCTAAAATAAAATCCCTTCACATTTTCTAAGGTAATCAAAATGAATTAGTCTTTCAAAACATCAGAATAGGTATTTATTTTGCGCACAAACCTGAAAGTGACCTTAAAAAGTCATCTTCGGTGAGATATTCGGAAACGGTTGCATCTGAAAATTTCTCTTTTCCATTAAATGAAACAACAAAACTTGAAACAAAACAAAAGTGTCTGTAACTCCCTTGTCTTTACCGTATTTCTAAATATTAATATTACCATTGTGTAGCCCTTGAAAAGAGCTTTCAGAAAATGCATAACACTAATAGTTTAAACTCAAAGACAACGGAGTTACAGACGCGCGAAAGTGACAATCGCTTTTCAAATATGATATTTCATTGTTCAGTAGTGTAGTTTTAAATCAAAAAAATTGTAGAATAGTATTTGATTTAAGTGCAGTATAATATTCTATAAAATAATATGTTAGGGAGTTGCAGACGCGCGAAAGTGACGATCGTTTTTCAAATATGATATTTCATTGTCCAGTACTGTATGCTTTATAGACTAATGAACTTGTCTAATAAACTAATAAACTAATAATTAATAAAGTAATAAACTAATAAAGTAATAAACTAATAAACTAATAAAGTAATAAACTAATAAACTAATAAACTAATAAACTAATAAACTAACAAACTAATAAACTAATAAACTAACAAACTAACAAACTAACAAACTAACAAACTAATAAACTGTAAGTTTGTAATACTATAAATCACCAATCATATCCGATTCAGCCAAAAAGACTGATTATTATTCAATTTATTTTGAAGATATTGAAAGTTTACAATATTTTTTAAACAAAATTAACTCTAGCATAATGTAATGATCAGATTCAATGATAAAAAAAGCTAAAAGAGTAAAGAAAAACAAAACAAAAACTTGTTAAACAATCAAGCAATCTATTCATCAAATTTGCCTCAATTTTAACTCAATTTTAACTACGAAAAATATAGAAACTTGAATCCTTAAAAACTCACCAATTTGTCCATAAAGCAATAATTGATATAAGGTTTGCAATAAGTGATCTCCATCTCATGCTCATCCCATCGATGGATTTGAGGAAAAGATCTCCACCTCACAACACAGAAACAAAAAAAAAGAGAGAAGCTTTGCCCTCCTTTCTCTTTTCTGCCATTTTACAGAAAGGGGTTGATCTTTCGCTGGGAAAGGGAAGAATGAGACTGCATCTTCTGTCTTTTGTCTTTTGTCTTTTTCTTTTTCTTTTTCAGATGTCATCAATGCACTCAGTCTCTCTCCTTAAGTGAAAGAAAAAACATGTGCTCTCCTCCGGCAATTCTGCTGCCGTTTCACTTTTCTGAAATGAAATCGGTTGGCAGAACACGATG